TAGCATCCGTGAGGTGTCTCAGCTTCGGTTCATCTCCATCATCTGGCTTCACCCTCTCCGCGTGTCAGCGCATAAGCTTTGCTTCCTTAGGATCTACGAAATACCACTGTAGACGCGGAGTGATCGAAAAGTACCATACAACTTTCTGTGGAGTTTTCTTTCCGGCCTTTTTATATCGTGAAGCATTGCACTTTGGACAGATGGTTTTTTCCGCGTGCTCGTTCTGATATATGATGCAATCATTGATGCATGTGTGATATCTAATATGTGGTAGATCAAGAGGGCACACGATTTTCTTTGCCTCCTCGACACTAGTAGGACACAGGCTTCCTGCGCGAAGAACCTTCTTTAGGTACTTCATAAGCTCATCCAGGCTTATATCTGTCCATTTCTTTTTTGCCTTCATCTTTAGAAGTTCTAGTGTGAAACTCAAGCGGGCCACCTCGGGATTATTGCAACCATCATACAAAGGAGCCATCGAGTCTACCTCCAGTTGCACCAGTTTGACCTCCTCTCTAGAAGCAGCTCTGTCGCTAGTCATCTTCTTGCGAAGCAGGTCTCAAACATGCGGGCCCCGCATGGCTGAACTTAGTAGCAACGAAGACGGTGGCATGTCCGCGTCTTCTCCGCCTTGAACTGCCTCTTCGCCATCGACATTTCCGAGGCCGTCTTCCTCTTCGGGCACATAATCGGTCATCTCTTCATCTGGTGGCCCCATGTCGTTATTTCCTGCCCCGTCGACGTCCTCAGCATCATCCTCCTCCTCCTCATCATCATCATCATCATCTTCACTTATCCACCGAGTATGGACATGCATGAAACCATGCATGAGCAGGTGCGCCTTGAATTTACCACCCTTAAAGGGGTCGAGCCTGACTCTTCCTTTGCATTTTCTACACGGACATAAAACATCCCTCAGTCTTTTTTCATACATGTCATCCACAACGGATTGCCGGTATCTTTCCACCATCCTTCCATTGACCTTCATGATCACCTGCGGGCGGAGCAAATATTATAACCACGTATATATGCATGCATGGATCAAATTCATACAAAAATTCGGCATGACCTTCCCTAAACATAGGACATATTGAGTTTGCATGCCCGAAATTCGCCGAAACGGAATTGAATCGACAATTCGGCAAAACATAGGCAACTCATGTCACCCACATTATTTCATCAAATACACAATGTAGGCAACTCAAATTATGCCACACACAATTCGGTATATATATTCTCATATCACCCATATATATATAGTTTCGGTCCTATCCACACAAACACCTTTTTTTGCTCACCTATGTGTCGAGAGGGATATTGAGCACCTTTCTTCTTAATTACCTAGTAGCTCTAGATATATAGCTCTAACTAGCTAGCTAGCTAGGGAGAGAGAGAGAGAGCTAGCTAGCTAGGGAGATAGTGGGAGAGGAGAGGGAGAGAAGAGGGAATGCATTAATGGAAGTGGGAGGAGGGAAAAGAAGAGGGGGAGGGAGGGCATTAATGGAGGGGTGGTGGTGGAGGGCACAAAGAAAAGGGG